CGAGTTGGCTTGCGGCTCTGCCGAAGGGGGGGGGGTAGGTCTCCATCCGCACGTGGCGGCTCACCGACCGTTGGAAATCCCTGGCAATGTGATTCTGCGCATGAGGATAAAATCCCATCACCAGGAACCCCGGCAGGCAGTGGCGGGGAAGGGAGAGACATCCGGAGCATCCCTGCAGCAGCCGGCTGGAAAAGAAAGGAGAGCGGTGTTAGTGGTGGGGCGAGGGCTCGCTTCTCTCACGGCTCGTCCCCTCGGCATGTGTATGGGGCAGTCAGGCGTGGGTAGGGAGGGGGGACCGGAACCCGAAGGATCAGCACCACGGCTGGATATCTGTCACGCAAAAGGCAGGAAGCGCCCCTCTTCCAGCCATGGGTTGACCGGGTGAGGCAGGGGTCCCGAAATGTGTCAAGCCTGTGGATGCTTTTGGGATTTTGAGAAGGAGCAGCGTCCAGGGTTGCTACGCAGAGGCAGGCAATGGCAAACAATCTCTGTTCGTCTCTTGCCTGACCCAGGCAAGCCTGATCTCATCAGATCTCGGAAGCTAAGCAGGGTCGGCCCTGGATAGCACTTGGATGGGAGACCGCCCAGGAAGCCCAGGGTTGCTACGCAGAGGCAGGCAATGGCAAACCATCCCTATCTGTCTCTTGCCTCGACCTGGCTGGCCCAGGCAAGCCTGATCTCATCAGATCTTGGAAGCTAAGCAGGGTCGGCCCTGGTTAGCACTTGGATGGGTAGACCACCCAGGAAGTCCAGGGTTGCTACGCAGAGGCAGGCAATGGCAAACCGCCTCTGTTGGTCCCTTGCCTTGACCTGGATGGCCCAGGCTAGCCCGATCTCATCAGATCTCGGAAGCTAAGCAGGGTCGGCCCTGGTTAGCACTTGGATGGGAGACCGCCAAGGAAGTCCAGGGTTGCTATGCAGAGGCAGGCAATGACCAACCACCTCTGTTCGTCTCTTGCCCGGCCCAGGCTAGCCTGATCTCATCAGATCTCGGAAGCTAAGCAGGGTCGGCCCTGGTTAGCACTTGGATGGGAGACCGCCAAGGAAGTCCAGGGTTGCTATGCAGAGGCAGGCAATGACCAACCACCTCTGTTCGTCTCTTGCCCGGCCCAGGCTAGCCTGATCTCATCAGATCTCGGAAGCTAAGCAGGGTCGGCCCTGGTTAGCACTTGGATGGGAGACCGCCAAGGAAGCCCAGGGTTGCCACGCAGAGGCGGGCAAGGGCAAAACCACCTCTGCACGTCTCTTGACCCGAAAGGCCTCGGGGGTCGCCATGAGCAGGCTGCCACTTTGACGTTGCTTTCCGCCAGTGCCAGTGCGAAAATGACGGCCGCCGTGGCAGTGCTTTCCCCAAGCCCGGCTGGCTCCACGAAACGTGTGGAAGCTCTGGGCGAGGCGTTCTGCAACAGCAGAGGCAGCTGCCCCAGACCGCGTGCTGCCTGCGGAGGTGACGGGGCCGCCTCCCGGTTTTCGCAGAAGCTCCTCTTGTGCCGAGGAGACGGAGGGTCGCCAGGGTCAACTCCGTGCTTCGGGGAGATGAAGCCCTGGAAGTTTCCAAAGGAAGCGGGGAGGCTTTCTCCCCGTGTCGCCCCCGCAACGCATTGCCAGACCCAGAGACGTCAGGAAGCACGCTCGGAGCTGCGCCAAGGGTGCCCGGCTGGTACACGTCCTGCCCAGCATGAGCTCAGCACTTTGCCCGCCCGCCCGACACCGGGGAGCCGCCCAAATCGCCCGGTGGGGTTTTCCCCCCAAGACGCCTTGGATTTTATCTCTCAGGAGCGAGAGGGTTCCAGGAAACGCACCGCGGTGCCCCCAGGGCAGCTCTCTGGGGATCCCTGCTGTAGTTCACAGGGAGCCACCCCACATGATCCACGGGCAAGCCGGGGCATTTCTCACAGGGCGCGGAGGCCGGGCTTGCCAGGGCGGGGCTCCCAAAGAGGTGCACCTGCAGGAAACACGGGCACGGAAACGTGCCCTCGTGTCTGCAGCTGGAGTTTTTTGGGCTGCCCTTCACCTGAGGGGTGGGGTGGGGAGGGCCGTCGAATCGCAGCTGGCTTCTGGCGACCCCGTAGGGTTTTCAAGGCGAGAGAGGAACAGAGGTGCCTGCCTCTGCGTAGCAACCCTGGACGTCCTTGGTAGTCTCCCGTCCAAGGACCACTCAGGGCCGACCCTGCTTAGCTTCTGGGATCTGACCTGGGCCAGCCAGGTCAAGGCAAGAGACGAACAGAGGTGGTTTGCCCTTGCCTGCCTCTGCATAGCAACCCTGGGCTTCCTTGGTGGTCTCCCAACCACCAAGTACTAACCAGTGCAGACCCTGCTTAGCTTCTCAGATCTGAGGAGATCAGGCTTGCCTGGGCCAGCTAGGTCAAGGCAAGAGACGAACAGAGGTGGTTTGCCCTTGCCTGCCTCTGCATAGCAACCCTGGGCTTCCTTGGTGGTCCACCCATCCGAGTACTAACCAGGGTGGACACTGCTTAGCTTCACAGATCTGATGAGATCAGGCTTGCCTGGGCCAGCCAGGGCAAAGCAAGAGACGGGCAGAGGTGGTTTGCCCTTGCCTGCCTCTGCATAGCAACCCTGGGCTTCCTTGGTGGTCCACCCATCCGAGTACTAACCAGGGTGGACACTGCTTAGCTTCACAGATCTGATGAGATCAGGCTTGCCTGGGCCAGCCAGGGCAAAGCAAGAGACGGGCAGAGGTGGTTTGCCCTTGCCTGCCTCTGCATAGCAACCCTGGGCTTCCTTGGTGGTCCACCCATCCAGGTCAGGGCAGACGATCAGAGGTGGTTTGCCCTTGCCTGCCTCTGCGTAGCAACCCTGGGCTTCCTTGGTGGTCTCCCACGCAAGCGCTAACCAGGCTCGACCCTGCTGAGCTTCCGAGATACGACAAGATCAAGCCAGGCCGCGCTGCACCAGCCAAGGCCGCCTTCCATGTGCGCTTGAAACACAGCATGTGTGAAGCGGCTCTTGGTCATGGCGATCAGTCCTAGGCTTGCCAGCCTCCAGGCGGGGCCTGGAGAGCTCCCGCTTTGACAACCGGCCTCCAGCTGACAGAGACCAGCTCCCCAGGAGAAAATGGCTGCTTTGAAGGGTGGACTCTATGGCATTCTATCATGCTGAGGCCCCTCCCCTCCCCAAACCCCGCCCTCTAAGTTTTAGAACAAATAATTAAACAGTGAGTTCTTGAGCATTTAGAAAGGATGGCTGTGATTACTAAGAGCCAGCATGGGTTTCTCAAGAACAAGTCATGTCAGACTAATCTTATCTCTTTTTTCAAGAAAGTTACTACCTTGCTGGATCAGGGAAATACTGTAGACATAAGTTTATCTTGATTTCAGTAAGGCTTTTGATAAGCTTCCACATAATATTCTTGTTGACAAATTGGTAAAATGTGGTATGAATCCTATTATTATTAGTTGGATCTATAACTGGTTGACAGATCACACCCAAAGAGTGCTTGTAAATGGTTCCTAATCCTCTTGGAGAGGAGTGACAAGTGGAGTGCCTCAAGCATCTGTCCTGGGACCTGTTTTGTTCAACATCTTTATCAGTGATTTGGAGAAGGGGGAGCTCACTCCGTCATGCGGCGCACTCGGGTCTTGAACTGCTGAACTGCCGACCTTCCACAGCCTGCAGTTCAGCGTCTTAGCCACTTGAGCCACCGCAGCTCCTTGAGGAAGGGAACCAGCTGCCTAATCAGCCGTCGGTGGTAAAAGGCTGCTTTGGCAGCGGCTCCAGGTTTTTCCCAGCCCACACCTGCCAACCTGAATTCGGTCCCCGAGTTCCTGCAGAGCAACCCGGGTTGCCCTCTGTGTGCGAAAAAGAACCACCACCCCCGCTCGCCTTGGGAGCAATGCTCCCTCTAAGCTGTGGAGTCTGGTGAGCAAGAATTCTACTTTGTGAGCTCCAGGCATTAAAGTTGTGAGCGAGTGGTTCGGCTCCTGCCTGAATTAGTTTGCTCTGGAGCCATCCCTTCCTGAGCTGAGACAAAAACGTGTGAGCCGGAGGCTAAAGAAACTGTGAGCTGGCTCGCACTAACCCGGCTTAGAGGGAACACTGCTTGGGAGTCCTCCGAGCCCTGCAGGCGAAAGGGTGTGCCTGTGAATAAGCACCGGCTGCGGTTCCCGACCAGCCTGGAGGAGCCGTTTGGGCTTGCTGCACGGAGCGCGGGTTGGGCAAGAGCGCCGGGCCTCCCTCTTTTGCCCTGGACTGCAAGGCCTTGACTCGGAGGGAAACAGCCCAGGGCGGCTGAGGCCCGGCACCAGGAGGGGGGGACTTCCTGCTCCCACCCAGCGAAAGATCCCCTCCTTTCCAGGGAGACCAGGAGGGTGCTGGCGGGGGTTAACCCTCTCTTGGCCTGAGTCCAGCATTCCTTTGGGTGCAACGCACCCCCGCCCAAGCGGAGTTGGAACTATGGATGCCAGCCTCCAGGTGGGGCCTGGGGATCCCCCGGAATTCCAGCTCCTCTCCAGACTGCAGAGATCAGTTTCCCCTGGAGGAAATGGCTGCTTTGGAGGGGGGACTCTGTGGCCTTGTGCCCCACTGGGGTCCAGGGATGCCAGCCTCCAGGTGGGGCCTGGGGATCCCCCGGAATTCCAGGCTCATCTCCAGACTGCAGAGATCAGTCTCCCCTGGAGGAAACGGCTGCTTTGGAGGGGGGGACTCTGTGGCCTTGTGCCCCACTGAGGTACAGGGATGCCAGCCTCCAGGTGGGGCCTGGGGATCCCCCGGAATTCTAGCTCTCTACCGTCCCAAGGATGAAATAGGTTTGCCAGCTCTGGGTTGGGAAATACCTGGCGATTTAGGGGGTGGGGCCTGGGGAGGGCAGAGCAGGACCTCAGCAGGGCCTAATGCCATAGAATCCGCCTTCCGAAGCAGCCATTTTCCCCAAGGGAACTGCTCTCGGTAATCTGAAAATCAATTGTCATAGACGTAGATCTCTGTGGGCCACCAGGAGGTTGGCAACTGTAAGCACCAAACATGTCTCTCAAGCAGTTTGTGTATGCTGATATTCTTATGATGGAGTTTTCACCAGCACCCTCGGATGGACTTCTTGGTGGAGTCTGCCTGGAGCTGTAGCCCAGGGAATGGAGAGAGCGATGAGCAGGAGTAATTTCCTGCGGGAGTGCACAGGAGCGGAGCTCCGGCAGTAAAGAGCCCAGGGGGCGGGCACATGCAACAAGCCCCGCCCCTTGCTCCCAGCAGCCCTCAGTCGGACCACGAGGAGCAAGAAGCAGCCAGGTAAGTTGCACGCCCCCCCCGGCCCGCTTTCAGGTAGAAGCTCTCCCTCCTCTGTGAGGACAGATCTGCACGTCCCCCCCCCATAGCTAGTAATCCAAAACAGTCCAGTGGCACCTTTAAGACCAAGGTTTATTCAGGTACAAGCCCTCCCTCCTCTGTGAGGGCAGATCTGCATGTCCCCCCCATAGCTAGCAATCCAAAACAGTCCAGTGGCACCTTTAAGACCAGGTTTTATTCAGGTACAAGCTCTCCCTCCTCTGTGAGGACAGATCTGCACGTCCCCCCCCCATAGCTA